GGCAGTCGGGATAGCTCTTCAGGGCTATTTCATAAGGGGTCATAAACTACTAACTTAGTAGTTAGTAGTACTAAACCCTAAACCCTAAACTCTAACTCCTAAACCCTAAACCCCTAAACCCTAAACCCTAAATCCCAAAACCCTAAACCCTAAACCTCAAAGCCCTAAGCCCTAAACCCTAAATCCATGATCCACTAGAGCTCAAGCCGCGGGCTCCTCCAGACTACACCCATACCCAAAGACTGCAACAGGCCTACTAACTCATAGCTCAAACCTAAACCCTAAGCCCTAAACCCTTAATTTTTGACCCTAAACCCTAAACCCTGTAAACCCTAAACCCTAGACCCTAAACCCTAAACCCTAAACCCTACACCCTAAACCCTATAGACCCTAAACCCTAGACCCTAAACCCTGAACCCCGAACCCTAAACCCTACGAGGGCCCCAAATCCAGTACTACCCCCAAGCCCTAAGGCCCTTCATACAGAAGTCTCCCGGCCTTGAAAGGTAGGGAGACAGCAGGTCGTCCCATTTGGGGCTCAGGGTTTAGGGATGTAGGGATTTAAGGATTTAGGGTTTAGGGTTTAGGGCTCAGGGATTTTGAGTTCATTCCTCGTTTTGTGTTTTTGTTTTCAATGGGTTTAGGGTTTAGCTTTGATCTTTTGCTTTTAGGTTTAGGGTTTAGGCTTCGAGTTCAGTCCTTCTGATGTGAAGTAATGTAGATGTGTGATTGGTAAATAGAAGCCATTTTTGATCTTTTTAAAGGTAGGGCGGGTTTATTGCTAATCACAGGTCTTCATTAAGGTTTGTATTTCCGTATTGGTGAGTGTATGTAGGGATCCGGTGGAATATCAGGGAGTGTACGTCCGGAGTGCTACTGTAGCCATGCTAGACAAGAGCCCTACTTTACGTGCATGGTGAAGGGCACACTGTTTTGGGATAATTCCCAGTCCATATGTTCGCGATAGGCATGATGCATGCTGTGGTGGTGGTAGTTATGGTGGAGATTTCCGTGGTGTTCTGTTTCTCTCTAAACCCGAAATCCTAAAACCTAAGCCCCAAAATTGGTGCTGGTGTTGATGTTGGTGGTGGTCCTGGAGCTGCGGCTCTTGTGTCGACATTGCAAGTTTACGTGTGCGGTGGCGCTCCGGCTGCTACTTCAGGGTCTTGGGTTTAGGGTGTCAGTGCCGGGTTCTGCTGCAGCTGACGGTGCTGCTGGTGTGGTTGCATTATGCAGTTAAGTTACTTTATGTCATATTATGCTAGAACTTATAACAATCATAGTTTCAATACTGGTACTTTAGTCGTATCTTAGTAGTAACGGTGCCCTGCTTCTTGTTGCCATGGTCTCGTTCCCCACGCCTTGATTGTGAGAAGCCGTGAACCCCACCCCCTCAAGCCTGAAATCCTTCACTTTCTGTTTGGAAGAGCCCTCAGCCCTAAACCCGAAAACCCTAAACCCTAAAATCCCCTCAACCCTAAGCCTTAAAAACTCAAACCCTAAAGCAAAAAGACCCAAACCCTGAAGCCCGAAGCGTTGAAGCACCAAGCCAGGAGTACGGGCAGACTTCGGAGAAAGGCCTCAACATCTTCGTGCTGAATACGCACGAGGCCATAGCGCAGCTTCCCTTCACACTGTTTCCTGGCTGTTTCGACTAAACCCTAAATCCTAAACCCTATATAAGCCCTACATCTCCCTCAACCGCCTTAAGCCCTTCAAGGTTCATAGTTTACTGCTTGGGGGTGCCAGTGCATGCCATAGGTGAACATTTTTGTCATCGTTTTGCAGAAATTCGGATCTGTGATAGATAGATAGATCGGTAGATACATAGATATATGAGGACCCCCCACCCCCCCCAAAAGGCTACAACTCTGCCCCAAATCCCAAATTGGTGGCTGTAGCTTTTGGCCCCTGAGCCCGAAACCCTAAACGCTAAAGCATGGCCCATCTGAGGATTTTGGCCCCTCAACCCGAAACCCTAAGCGCTAGACACTGAGTGTTGCTGTGGCTCCTGAATGGAAGCCTCTTTTAGTGTAAGCCTTACAAAGGCAGGCTGGATCGCCCCTAAACCCTAAACCCTAAATTTTAAATCTTAAACCCTAAACCCTAAACCCTAAACCCTAAACCCTAAACCCTAAACCCCACACTAAAAAAACGACCCTGGCTCATCTGAGGATTTTGGTGCCTCTGAATGTTGCCTTTGGCCAAACCAACGGCCAGAGCCTCTTCGAGTACCTGAAGGCTCCCCTAGAGATTCCCAAACCCCCTGAATTCAGGAGTATACCTACCGACTCCAAACCCCTTCAGGGTTTAGGGATTAGGGTTTAGGGCCTTAATTCAGGAGTATACTTTAAATCACATCAGGGATCTTACTATGATTTAAGGTGTTTTCCTTAACTTAAACGCTTCGCGTCGTCCGCCTCGGCTCGGCCGCAAACAAAGAGGGCCAACGAACTGCTGGTGCTGAAGGCGCCGTTGGCGGAGCGGTTCTATCCGCGCTACTATGAGTTACTAGGTCCAATGACTTTTGTGGAGCTCAGAAGGCTTTCCTGCGTGGTTTCAAGGTTTGGGGCAGGAGGGATTTGAAGATGGCTGGGGGGGGAGAGACAGTGATTTTTGAGGATGTTTACGAGGAATTACGCGCATTTCAGAATTCAGAGCTTGCTCTTTTCGCTCCAGGTGTTTGAGCTAAGGCTAGAGTATGGGGCCTAGGCCTAAAGCCTAAACCTTACACCCCTAAACATTCCCAACGCTTCAACCCAACCACACCCCTCAATCCTGGCCCCTAAACCCTAAACTCTAAACCCCTAAACCCTAAACCCTAAACCCTAAACTTAGAACCCTTGAGGAACGCTTAAAGGGACCGTTAGAAGGAGCCCTTACCCTACGCCGTCAGACCGGTACGTTGCGAGAGGATCAGCGACTGAACCGTGAAAAAACCCTAAAGCCGGTGACGACGAGCTCTTTTAAGGGGTCCATAAGGGCTGCTAAGGCTTAGGGGCTTAGGGGGTCCTCTAAAGGGTTCGACAAGGGTTCGCCTTGCGGTTTGAAGTGGGTTTGGTTTCAGGGCGTTTTGAAGGTTTCTATAAGGGGGGTAAGGTGGATGCTGTGGGGTGGTTTTTGAAAGGGCTTGCTGGGTCTACCCTAAACCCTAAACCCCCAAACCCTAAACCCCTAAACCCTAAACCCTAAGCCATAAACCCGTAAACCCTAAACCCTAAACCCCTAAAGCCTAAACCCTAAACTTATAAACCCTAAACCCTAAACCCTAAACCCTAAAGCCTAAACTCTAAAACCCTAAACCCCAAACCCAGAAACACTATCGAAGGAACCTTTCAGCCCCGGATGCGTGGAAGGGGGTTCATAGGAGTTTCGAAGGGTTTAGGGTTTAGGGTTCATTTCCTTAGGACTCCCTAACGTCATTCTGCTGCCGGGGTATGTGTATGCTGTAATATACCACCAAACCCCGAAACCCTAAACCCTAAACCCTAAACCCTAAACCCTAAACCCTAAACCCTAAACCCTAAACCCTAAACCCCTTATTGTAATTACTAAGGCTCCTAGCATAAACACAGGGATCTCACCCTTAAGGTTTTCCGGAATCCCCGTTTGAGAGGTCCGTATCCCAGGGACGGTTTAGGGTTTAGGGTTTAGGGTTTAGGGTTTAGGGTTTAGGGTTTAGGGTTTCGGGCCCACGCAGATGTGAGATTTCCTTAACATGGTTTTCTGACCTTATACATATCATGTACATCTATCGTAACTCCCTCATAAGCCGCAAATGGGTAGTTATCTAAATTGGGGGCCCTTTTTAGGTCCCCAATATAGTACGGCACCCTTGTAAAAAGGACCCTAAAAGAGACCCTAATGTAGACCACTACCCAAATATACACTTTGCCAGCCACCGTGGAGGAGGCCACCGGCTGCGTTTTCCAATCCACCCCCGACGTCTGCGGAAGCGAAAGCTCGCATGCGGAGTGGGCGGGAAAGCTGACGCTGGTGTACCTTGGCATATTGTGGCGGTGATGACGATGTTGATACTGATAATGTTACTGATGATGATGATGATTCGATGATGACGATGACGATGATGATGATGATGACGATGATCCTGGAAGTTCAGACTCTCGCAGTGTTTTTTCTCTTCCTCAGCCGTTTTTGTCAGACCTTGCATGATGTATGTTTGGTCACAGAAAGACATGGCCTCGGCGGCCGGCCATGATAGAAGCCACCTCCTGCAGGACAGTCTTGCCAACACTATTCCTTCGGGTTCCTTGTTATTCTTACTTCGAGGTTCATGGGACTTAGTAAGTACAGCTAAAAACTACCTGAATTGGGGTTATAAGTAGTGAGAAGTATGGTTACCTTAGTTTAACCCCAGTTACTAAGTCCCATGAACCTCCAAGTATACCAGCATGTACACCGAAACTTTGTCCTCATCATCAGAAGGCCCCGATATTCTCGATAGTATCGTGATGCTGAGGAACCTTCGCCGTCGCGATCGTTTAAACCCAAGCCTCAGACACGAAACCCCAAATGCTTGAACCCTAAGCCCTAAACCCTAACCCCTAACCCCTAACCCCTAAACCCTAAACTAACCCCTAGCCCCTAAACCCTCAACCCTCAGCCCTCAACCCTCAACCCTTTATTTACAGCAACCCGCGGCCCCTAAACCTTTCAGATGGGAGACCCCCCTCATCTGTTTTCTTGCTGTGGCCATGGGCCGTGTCCTTGTTGGGCCGACTACCAAAGTTTAAGGGTTCAGGGCTTGAGGTTCTTTGTGTAGGGTTTTGGGTTTTTGGTTGGGGGTTTAGGGTTCTTTGTTTGTTCGGGCTTAGGGCTTAGGGTTTAGAGCGGTGTTGGGGTTCAGGGGGTTACGGCTTCGGGCTCAGGGTTTGGGGTTTTAGGGTTTAGGGTTTAGGGGTTTAGGGTTTAGGGGTTTAGGGTTTAGGGTTTCGGGTTTAGGGTTTAGGGTTTTCGGGTCAAGGGCTTAAGCTTTGGGGTTCTCTCATTTAAGCTTTGGGGTTCTCTCATCTATGGCATGGTGCTTGCGGCCTTTGGGGTGAGCCCCCCCCTTGCAAGGTATGTGGTCTTCAACCTCTGCATGAATGTCACAACCTTGATGGCTGCACCCCGGCTGCGGTTTATACTTGAAACAAAACTGCAGTGCCGCCATTTCTACACATGCTGCTGTGGCGATTGCTGCTTGGAGTATGCCCGCGATTGCACACAATTCAGACTAAGATTCCATTACTGTGTGGGTCAAACCCTAAATTAGGCTTTTTCTCTTGATCCACACAAAACCTCGTCACTCCTGCAGCTGTTAAACGAGGAGCCCAGAAAAGCCCAAAGCGAGATCTAATAGGGTTGAGGGTTTAGGGTTTGGGGTTTAGGGTTTAGGCTTTTGGGGGTCGGGACATTCGTAATGTATGTAAAGCCTTAATCCTGAATGCTGTACAACCCGACGAGACACTGGAACCCCTATCGCCAGACCTCATGAGTCAACATCAAGCCCCAGATGCAGTGTGTATGCAGAGGACACCAGCAGACACAAACCCTAAACCCCAGGTGAAGTATGGTAGCGCACTGGGTACCTTCGTGGCTCTCAAAGCCATCTTCCCTGTCTCGATGGTGCTCTTTGCCTACGTGAGCCTTGGCTTATCAGTTTTGCTGCTTGTAGTCTGAAGATTGCTACACGCTCCGGGTTAGGGCTACAGGGTTTAGGGGTTTTTGGGTTTAGGGTTTAGGGCTTAGGGAAGAGCAACGGCATTGAAGATGAAGAATGCTACTAAAGGCAATAGCATTGGCATCCGTCGCAGTAGCAGTATAGTGCTGTTCTGTGTTGTTGTCAGCGGTGACGTCTGCTTGCACTTTCAGAGCTAACCTCCGTTACCTCTGTTTCGGTTTCAGGAAGCTGCCGGGAATTGTTCCGAGGCAGTGGCCTCTGCTGGGCAAGACAGACATCCATTGGCTAACCTGGATGTCGGTCCTGGTCCTGCTGCCGTCCATCGGAGTTTACCAATGGGCCACCATCCAGCAGAACAAGCGGGCTGCGATTCACCCATCTCTGGCATCGTGCTGCTGGCCTTTCGGGGCTGCTCGTGCAGCCTAGATGGGCAAATGCCCTCGGCCCCATGCTTTAAAGACCTAAGGTTTTCGGGGTGTAAGGTTTAGGGTTAAACACGAAAACTTCAAAGCTTAAGGCTACATGGCAGCTGCGAGTTAGGATGGCAATCGTGACCTCCGCATCTTTTCCGGCCGTTGCTGGCTGCCAGCACGGGCCTGTCCCACTGTGGTCATGCAGGTTTGAGGACGACAGCGGCTTACCCAGCCCTATTGTAAGACCCTAAACCCTAAACCCTAAACCCTAAACCACCAGACCCTAAAGCCAGGGTGAGATGCGGACGAAGGGATGTCCGGATCCGATGAAGCGCTGCGTTTGAGCAACCCTAGGCCCTAAACCCTAAACCCTAAACCCCAAGCCCTAAACCGTCTGCAAAGCCAACGAACAATTACGATGAGGGTCTGGTCATAGGCCAGGGCTGGGTCTGTGCTTTGGTTTAGGGTTTAGGGTTTAGGGTTTAGGGTTTAGGTTTATTTTAAAGCGACGTGGGACGGAGCTGCACAGCGAACTCGTTTTTCACACGAAGCTCTCCGACACCCCAAACCCCAAACCCAAAACCCCAAACGCGAAACCCTAGACCCAAGATCCTAAACCATACTGTAGCCGTCATGCGAGCGCTTTTAAGGATTCCCCCCAAGCAAAACAAAGAGCCACAAGTTGAACCATCAAAACCGAAAGCCCAACACCGAATCCTGGGTGGGGCACTGTGCTCTCAACCAAGAATACCCTCGGAGAGGTCTTAGGGTACAGGTTAGGTTTTCGGGACTCGGGTTGGGTCTATGGTTTCGGTTTTCGGGTTCAGGCTCAGGGCTCATGTAGGACTGATTCTGTTTAGGGTTCTATAACGTTGTCTTTGGGATTCAGGCTGTGTATGGCAGGGTTTAGACAGTCCAAAGTCCTCATTACGAATCCCCTATATCCCCGAAGCTTCAACTGAACTACCAAATCCCTCAAACCTGGTTCGTGGCCGTAGATTCCCGACTCGATTGCTCAGCAGTGCCATGCCATGCAAAATGCATGCCTTGGCTTGCTCTGCCTGCGGTAAACGGACGCCCGGTGCTTCAGAAAAGGTCCTGATTCCTGGCTTCAGGGGTTCGGGCTTACTTGCAGGATCATGAGGTTCGATGTAACCCTAAACCCTAAACTCTAAACTCATAATAAGTATGGTTATCTGGTTTATGACGTTAGTTGCTAAGCCGCGTCCCATGATCCTTTAAGTAGGGTCTGGTGAGTACCCAGAGACTCCAATATCCTTTACTTGAGGATTATACTTTAGAGTAACTCCAATAGCCCCTACTTAAGGAACATAGCTTAAATTAGCTCCAATATCCATGACTTAAAGAAGGAACTTTAAAATATAGTGGGATGCCTAGTGTGATTGAAGGTATTCCTTGATTAAGGAATATTGGAGTCTCTGAGTAGGGCTTACAGGCCCAGAGCGTTAAACCCTAAACCCTAAACCCTAAACCCTAGAACCCTAGAACCAAAGAGCCCTAGAGCCCTAAACCCTAAACCCCTAAACTCTTAAACCCTTAAACCCTTAAATCCTAACCCCCTAAACCCGGAAGGATGGCATCCTCGACCCGGCGGCCCTCTTCGCGACGTCCAGCGGGCGCTACGGCCAAGGCGCTCCGGGCATCACCGTGGTTCCAAGAGCCTTCAAAACCCTTCAACTAAGGGCTTTAGGGTTTAGGGTTTAGGGGATTTAGGGTTTAGGGTTTTGGGGGGTCTAGGGTTTAGGGTTTGGGGTTTAGGGTTTGGGGTTTAGGGTATAGGGGCCTGAATAATTAGAATGGGGTTTTGGGGGTTCCTTATTATAACTATAGCATAATAGACCCCAAAAGCCTATTCTAGTTTGAGGTATTCAGGCCCCTATATTAAGGGTTAAGGTTTAGGGGCTGAGGGTTCCCTAGGAGCTTATGATGTTTTTCGTTCATCACGGGTTATGGGGTTTCAGATAATTTAACAGTCAGGTTTTATTGGGTTTTACAGGGGTTGATTGGAACAGATTTTAAGTTGTAGAGTTATCCTTATCGTAATTCAATTAATTCCGGCGCCCAGTGAGGTCCCTAAACCCTAAACCCTGAACCCTAAACGCTGAACCCTGAACCCTAAACCGTAGACGCTGAACCCCAACCCCTAAATCCCCTAGACCCTCAACCCTTTAACCCTTAAGCCCCTTGCCCTTAAACCCCTAAACCTCCACACCCAAAGCCCCCAAAACCCGTATTCCAGTGAGGTTTTCTGAGGGCTGACGAGGAGATTTGTCAAGGTTTCGAAACGGTCGAATCAAATCAGGAAAAGAAGGGTTTGAAAAGCGCCTTACTATCCTTCTTACGGCTTTGGAGTGTTCATAACGACCCCATGAGCTTGATATACAAGTGTTCACAACGTTTCCAAGAAATGGTTTGTAATGGTCTCCAACTGGAGAAAGAAGGCTCTACTAGGGCTTCAGGGTTTATTGTAGGCTTGGGGGTTCAGAGTTCAGGGTATGCTGAAGCCCTGCAAGCGCAGTCTTGGATTTCTGAAGTGTCCTTTCTGGAGCTATACGAAGGATTTACTTCGATGTTCATGGGTCGCTGCATGCAGGGTTGCAAGTACTTTGAGATGATGACTAGTCATAGTTGTAGTCTGTCACCGTGATGAAATGCACTCTGAAGCTACTGACGCTCATCTGAAACCCTTGTAGAACCCTTCTTAAGCCCCTTCTGAAATCCTTGCAATCGTATCTGGGTTGCAGGTTTCAATAAACGGGTCCGTGGCAACTCTAAACCCAAACCTAAACCTTTTGTCGGATGATATGAAAAGGGCTTGGGGTTTAGGGTTTAGGGACTTATTTAGGTGGGGTTTGGCTTTGAGTAGGTTTAGGTTCGGTATTCAGCGTTAAGGGTTCCGTAATTGTTTTGGTGGCTTCTGCTGACAAAGCGTTTAACAGCTCATAGCTCCATGCCTTGAACACTAACAAAACATTAATATGCTTTAACAGGGCTGTCCTTTAGATACCATATCTAAGTCTAAGTGAGTATTTCGCCTGTTATATTAAGCCCTATAATACAACTTTTGTAGAACCCTTTCAAGAATCCCCTAAACCCTAAACCCTCCTTGAAGAGCCCTGAAAGCATCGCAGGCAGCCTTCCCCGGTGGGTTAATGACAAGAGCTGCGGCAAGCCTCAGTCACCTGAGGTCGCTTTCGCCACTCGACCGTGCTTAGTATAAGGGCCTAAGCAATTACCAATATTAATCTTGGGGGCGCCTTATTAAAATTTTAGTATAGTATACCCCCAAAACGCTAGTCTAATTATTAAGGCCCTACATGATATGGGTTTAGGGTTTAGGATCATGGGACTTGCGAACTGAAAAGCTTCCTTAAGGGGGTCCTTAGTGGGTGCCTTAAAGGGATCTATAGTGGTTTAGAGGGTTTAGGGTTTAGAGGGGTTTAGGGCTTAAGACCTCATGACCGTTCTTAGAGGATCATGGGACTTCGTAAGCAAAGTTGGGTTTCGTGTTTTGATCTAACAGGTGTCTTTTTATATAGGGTTTAGGGGACTCAGCAAGCGTGGTTACAAGGACTTCAACTGGAGTAACAACTATTCAAAGGTATAGTTACCATATGCCATTATGCATTAACCTTGGTTGCTACGTCCCAGACCAATTATTCTTCTTTAGGGTTCCTTACTGTAATCATAATATAAAGGAGCCCCCAAACCCTATTCTAATTATTAAGGCCCCTACAGTAAGTTTTTGCATGTCTCATCTCGAGTCTCCCCGCCTAGGCTCTAAACCCTAAATTTTATACCCCTAATGTAGAAGCCTATATTGTTTCCGGCCCCAATATAGTACCGTATCCCTAAACCGAAAGGGGGTGTACCGTTGTACAAACGCTTCCCGTACTCGTTGTTCGCTGGCTCTGCGCTTCGGGCAGAGGTTCTTCGATGCGTACCGTAGGGGCTTAAAATAATTACCAATACTATGTTGGGGGTTCCTTATTCTAGTTATAGTATAGTGGGCCCCAAAACCCTGCTCTAATTACCAAGGCCCCTATATTACTGTTTCATGGGTTTCGTTTGGAGTTCGGGGTTCGCAGTTTTTTTAACGAAGGTTGGTGGAGTCTTGGCAGGGTTTGTTAGGGCTTTCGGCCAGTGGTTTCGGAGTGGCTTGGCACAGTCTGGGACGTGCTTGACTTGGGCCTCATTTACGGGTTCATAGAGACGACCCCCCGCGATGAGGAGGTTTGGAGGGTGGGGGTTTGTGGGGAGGGGATTAAGTAAGAAGTGGGGAGTAGAGGCAATCCGAATAGGAACCTCTGACCGCTTCGGCCGGGGCCGAGGCGAATTTAAGGTTTCTTCCTAAATCAAGGGATCTTGGAGTCCCTGGGTTCACGAATCATTGGACATTCTGAAACCAAAAGCTCAGAATTCTCTGCCTTGCTTGCTAAGGCCAGCAACATGATCGGCTGCGGCATACCCTTTGATGCCTCAATCCGCTTCAACAAAGCTGGGGATCTTGGTCGGTGATTGCGAGAGTTTAGCGTGTGATCCTAAACCCTAAAACCTAGAGCCTAAACCCTGAACGTGTGGTCTCGGATCGGTTCTAGTGATTCTGGTGTGATTGTAGAGGGTTTGGAGATCTTAGGGTTGTATTAAAGGAAGCTAGAGGTGGGGAGTTTGGGGTACATAGGGGTTGGGAGTTTAGGGCTAAGGAAGCTACAGGTGGGGAGTTTAGGGTACATAGGGCTTCTATAAGGCCTCTATAAGGTTTATAGACCTTTACCGGTAACTACCGGCCTGTTGTTGTGCTAGATTGTAGGGGTACATTTCAAGTGCAGTTCGTGTTGCAACAGCAAGAGGGGTCGTCGCGTTGTTGCTTTCGTGCTCGTCAAAGCAGGCTGCTGCTGCTTGTCAGCTATTAGCATCATTCCTGTTATTGTTCTCATTCGTCACTCCCCTTCATCATCGTCTTCCTCTAGATAACTGGGCTTTGTGCGAATG